GATACCAATTTGTATGACTGGATTCCCAGTAATGATTCCTAGAAATAAGAGCTTGCTGTATATCTTCTCAGAAATAAACCTGATATAATTAAAGCAATGTATCAGCCCAGATAGGCATGATTAACCTTATCTTGGCCATATTTTTTTTAAATACATATAGGTATAGCACCTATATTTTGGATGCCAAATAGGCGATCAGGACTCTGCATTACAAATGCAACTTATCTGTGTATTTGGCTAAACAAGGAAAAGGCCTTTCTCAGTCCTAATGGTGTGGAGAAAGCCTACCAATCATAGTGACTGTTGTGTTTGCATGGTTGCCCCAGTTGCAAAAGGGATCTCAAGAAAGAAGTGGACCATAGAATATTCAAACATTCCATCCACACTGTCATGTACCCCACGGCCAATTTCAGATTCCTCCAAATCACCTCAATTGATGATAAAGATGAGCAGGATGCAACTAATCCGGGGCCATCAATGTCTGGACCCAAACTTTAGACCAACATATGCTCTTCCTGAACCACATCTAATTTCAAAGAGTGAACTAATTGATCTGGTCAGGATTTGGAATTGCCTGAGAGTAATGCAGAGCTACTGGGCTCCAGATTACAACAGGAACCTCTGTTGTGAACTATGAAAAACAAGGTGGAAAATTTGTTTAGATCCTATAAAGCACTTGGTACAAACATGTCACTGAAAATTCACTTCTTATACTTGGCATTTAGACTATTTCCCTTTGAACTGTGGGACAATGAATGATGAGCATGGGAAGAGATTCCACCAGGATACTGTAGGCATGGAAAAAGATAGCAAGGGAAATTGAGTCCATCCATACTTGCTGATTACTGCTGGATTTCCCCAGGGATGATCCTACTGCAGTTCATAAGAGAAAAGCCTAAAACTGCAGTTTAGATACAAAATAAATATAGAACCTTGTCTTTTAATCTGATGTTAGAACTTGTCAGTTTTTCATGCATAAAGTATGAAAATGTTACATGAAAAACCTATAAATGAATAGAAAGTTATGTTATTGGTATCAAAATATAAATTTATAATAATTGGTGTGGCACCGTTCTCATTGCTATATTACATTTTGCAGAAAGGTTATGGAGCATAATCTCAGTCCCCCTAGTAATTTTGAATTAATGAAATTTTGACCTGAAGCTGTATCTTGGAAACTGGAGCCAATCAATACTCAGGACTTAATTTTCTACTATTGACCCAATTCTGGTAAATTTAGCTACTTTAATTTCCAAAGCTTTCTCCTTGTAGACCAGTGTCCAATTGGGCAACATCTTCAGAGTTAGAAAGGCATAGGGCTCAGGTTATTTTAAGAACCCTCTTACCCTAGGAACATCTATCCCCAAAATTTATATTGTTAAGCAAGACGTTTGTTGAGTTTTGCTCCATTTCACAGCATTTCTTGCCACAATTATTAAGTGAATTGCAGTTAAGTGAGTCTGTTTATCCATTGACTCTGCTTGTCAGAAGGTCGCAAAAGATGACCACATGATCCCAGGACGTTGCAACCATCTTAAATGTGAGTTGGTTGCCAACTGTCCAAATTTTGATCATGTGACCCTGGGGGTGATGCAATAATCAGAAGTGTGAAAAATGGTAGTGTCACTTTTCAGTGATGGTGTAATTTTGTTGGTTTCATTTCTCATCTAATATGAATAGGTTTGTTCAGCGTAGGCAAAGAGTTGAGAATTATTCCTAAACCCTTCTAGGTGGGTTGTTAAGTGGGACCTCCTGGGTTAACCTGTAAAGTTGTCTTGATCTTTCTGGGGATTGTATATTCCAATAGATCATGTTATATGGGGCTTGTGAAGAGAAAGCAATAATTTTGCTAAAGGTATTGTATGGGTTTGATGCCTCCCAGATTTTTTTATGGCATGTCAAAATTTTCAACTTTTAATTTCCAAACATTTGGGGTGCTCAAAAGTTGTGACATGTCTTGAGGATTATAAGGGTATTTTGGTTACTTCAATATAATTTAGATGTTCTTGGCAAATAACTACATAAATAAAATAACTTTTTAACATTTTATTTATTTCATTTCACAGGTTCAGCTGCTTTCTCTTTGTTAAAACCTATTTTGTAATACTGCTGGCCTCATTTCCTGTGAGTGAGATAACTGATCTGTAATGGCATCTAAAAAAAGAAAAAGACTGGGAACATTCACTCATATGAGCAACCTAATTGGGCCTGGCAGAGACTTGCCGTCTGAACTCCCAACACTGCGAGACATTCTCAGATATGGCCTACTGTTAAGAGAACAAAGTAGTGATGACGCTAGAAACTACCAGCAGCTGTTCTTGCAAGAGACATATACTCAAAAGTGCTTGAAAAGTGGGAACAAGCAAACAGTTCTTTTGTGACCCCTGTTGTAAATTCAAGAGTGACAGTCTTGAACAAGATCCGAGAGCTGGGATCGAGCCAAAATATATCTCTTGGTAGGGGAAAGTTAGATGTCAAAGAAACTTTCACTGTGAAACTTGACAAACTCTTCGACATTCTCAACTGCAAGTGTCAAATTGTTCTGTGTGCCAAATTTGGCTGCCCTGCTAGCTGTAAAAAAGAAGCTCACATTANAGTTTTTCATGAGTATAATCACAATGTCAGGCAAATATGTGCATGCTGTGATCATTTACTCTTAACCAAAACACTTTCATATCTATGATTTGGTGAAGTTGTTTTATTTTGCATTTTGCTACATCATCTAAATGGCCTCACTCACAAAACTTTTCAGCCTTCAATGGGAATTTTACAAAATCCCCACTCCTGACAAAACTTTTCAGCCTTCAATGGGAATTTTACAAAATGGGCTCCATTACGTTTTCTCTTTCAGAAATGTATTATTTCTTCACTACTCTTTCAGAGAACTTTAATAGTCAAAGTTATCAATGTTATACAAGGACCTATTAAACATAATGAATGCATTATACTATACTATACTTTTCCTCCAAAATCTAGCAGAAGTATTATAGGAAAGACCACGAGTACTAAGATTTTATTATATTTAGAAAATTAAAAATTTAACTTTTTAAACAGAACATTAACAAACAAAAACAACCAAGAATTTTCTATCTACGGAGATTCCAAGGATATACAGTTCTCACCTTTTAATCTTTTCTTTTTCTCCGAAACCTAATACATATAATTTTATACACATATACTAAAAATGATTCTTAGTATTCTTTGATAAATACATATAGTCAAGACTGTGAATAGGTACATTTCAGAGACTGCTGGATTTCAGCTCTCCTGACCATTATTCCTAGTGCTGACTGATTTGATATTTGGATTCCAATAATCTTTGAGTGTCCAAGCTTCTCACTCCTGGAATATTAAAATGTCTTTACTGACTGCTCATGATGATACTCCACTGTTTATAGTATAGTATTATTATGTTTTTGATATATACAACATATGGCACTATGAAGTGAATGTGGCCTCAATTACGGTTATACATAACTTTTTAGTGCAAAAATAGATTTGCAGTCATAAAGTAACCATGTCAATCAGCTCTAATAAGTAATGAACTGTTTACCTAGTTCATAAATGTTAAGCCGGAGCAAAACTGATCAACCTTTATAGAAGAGTGAAATAGTGGGTGAATATTCTCAATTTAATTCTGGAAATCTTTATGCTCTTAAAAATGTTTTATTTATTTTTACCCAATTGAATTCTGTTTAATGGGACTATTTCTAGAAAACCTGATTCAGAAAAAGAAGGAACAATGTGACAATATATCTGTCAAGGTTTAATTCATTCAAAACATTTGTAATAGAAATCAAATTAAATGAAACTCTGATTTCTGCAATCTTGGTTAATTTATTTGCACATCAGTAAAGGGCTCGCTTTAAGAAAATCATGATGTATAATGTAAATATAAGTGCATATTTCTTGTGAAAAGACACAGGGCATAAAATATAGAAAAGTTCATTTTTGGTGAACTGACTTTTACTACTTGGAATATTGTTTGAAAGCTATAAAAGTAATATAAGTCTCAGTGCTGAAAAAGGAATTTTACCATATGGATCTATTTAACCAAAAGATAACATACCATTTTTATTTCCAGACAGATTCAGTTTTATGCATTATGAGCACTGCAACACAAATCCATGTGTTTATGTAAACTGGCACCAAAATGTGAATTCCATTCTTAGAAATATACTTTGTCTCCCCTACATAGACATGCTATTGGATAATAACACATTTGGGATATTAGAAAGTTTAAAAAGAAAGCAGTGAAGAGAATCAGGAGCAGACAAAGAACACAGCTATGGAAATAAATTGGAAGTTTTAGTTCAGGTTTTTAATCTTATAGTAGACTTAATTGTTTAACAATATGCTTGAAGATATTAGCTGTGGGGGTTAGCAAATATTCAACAGATGTTTTATTAGGATAAGAGATGCTCACCCTAAATTGCCTTAACTGATTAAAAATGTTTGTGTACATTTTTAAATTCTAGTCTTTTGCTATATTTCAGGGTAGTTAGAACAAACTAGAAAACCTACTCTACATTATATTTGATTCATATCAGGTTTTATTCAGGGGTTCAATATCCAATACACAGTACTCTCTCCTTATTTTTCCCCAAATAATTACCCTGAGACATAGGCTGGACTCAGCTACAATGACTGCTTAAAGTCATCAAGATTCTGTGTATAAGAGTAGACTCAAACATGGTTCCTTCTTGTTTACAGTCCAGCACTTGATTATCACATCACAGTGGCTTTCAGTGTCTCTCCCCCCCCCCACTTGTTTTTTGCAATGCTTGGGCATTGAAGCTTGTAAAGTACCATTATTGCTAACTTTTTAAAAAGACTAAAAATAAACATTTTTACGAAAACGTTTCTCTAATAGAGCAATTATTCTGCACAGAGGTCATGTTAAGATTAGAGTTTCTTATTTTGAAGGGAGACTCCGCTGTTTTTGCCTGCATATAATATTTTTAATACCTCCTAATGCAAGGAAAACATATATTCTTTTTATCAAACCCAGGCTGTTGAATCCGTTCTGCCTGGGATTATTTTATCAAACAATATCTTTAATAGACTAGATAATAAGTTTCTTGTTTAATTGGAAAATCCAGCAATAGAAATGGAGAACTCTGATTGCTAATCATTTGCTTCTCCAACTGGTGCTTTCCAAATGCAATAGGACAAGAAACTTCATGATGAATGAGAATTCTAAGCCCAATAGTTTCAATACAATTGAGGGATATCTAATTTTCAGACTAATTTTCCAGTCTCTCCTCCCAGACACTACAAAACACCATTTAATGTTTTGGAATCAGACGTCCATGTAAAAAAGAATTCCTTTCTTGTGAGATGGGCAGCTCTACATATATGATGAATAAATAAATACAATAAAAGGTAATTTACCTAACAAGGCTTTGTGGCTGTCATTATGTCGATAGCAATTTATACTAATATCTTCCTGGTGGCTGCAATCATGCTGTCCCCAGTCCCCCTTAGAACATTGTAGAATGTTAAACTCTTTTCCAGAGCAGGTAATGTCATCCAGCCAGATGGGTCCTGTATTTTCTTCTAAGAAGCGTTCTGAAACAATTTTCCCATTCCTGTTTACATAGACATTAGCACTTGCACAGTTATAATACATACCATAAATATATTCCATGATCAGTCTTGATTTCATTGATATCTATTGTATTTTGAATAAGAATTTTTCTTCCCCACTTTTAAATTAGGCTTGTTGGTAGAATCCATGGCTATATTTATTAATGCTCAAACTCAATATATAATTCTGATATATTTCATCATTGATATCTGCTATAAATGTAATGTTTAACTACTCCTTTAAACTATGTTCATAAATGTAATATATTAAACCCATATATATTCTCTCCTCATTTCCTTTCTTCTGCACTGTGAATTTTCTCTGAAGGGTCTAATAAGACATAAGCATTAAATCAGTGACCTTAGGTAGCCAGAAGTCAAACTGCTAACAACAATCTATTGAATAAACTGCAGTTGGCTCGGATCATACATCATGCAAAGCCATAAACCAGAACTTTCAAATGAAAATAGCTGGGATTGCACACTATGCTTCCAAGCCAAAATGAAATCAATCAAATTATGCTTTAGAGCAATGTATGAATACTGTGAGAGGGTGAATGAGAGTTCAACATTTTGGAATATATATAATATGAAGTCTGGATTGTATGAATTTTGTTTCCAGATTCAGTTCAAGGTGCTGGTATTGGCCTTTAAAGACTTACTGTATTTTTTGGAGTATAAGACACACCTTTTTCCCTCAAAAAAGAGGCTGAAAATCTGGGTGCATCTTATACACTAAATACAGCATTTTGGGCCTTCNTATATGATAATAAAATTTTAGTATATACTTAAAATGAATTGTGATAAAGGACATATTTAACCTGTTTATACCCTACCTTTACCCATCACATTAAAAACCATAATTTAATAAATATTACACAATCTTTACATTTTACAAGATATTTTATTTAACTGTTTTCATGTATAATGAAATGGGGGCAGGATAACTTCACCATAAAGATAAAACACAGTATAAAGTCAGTTAAAAATTCATTATTTGAAACTAGTAGGGGTACAGTTCATTGTAGAAAATTTATCACAATACAAAATACTATATGTGAGAATCTTCTATGTAGAATGAGCTGATTTGTACAGCTGTAATCTACTGTTTTGTCTTGGTAGAATTACATGTTCAATCAAAATTACTTCTAGGATGAGCTATTTTAATGTCCAAAAAGTTATATTCATTAAAAAAATGTATTTCTCCAGTGCGACAAAGGACATTCATAGTTTGGTTATGCTTCTTATCCAAGGTATAAAAAAGGAAACTTTGGTATAGACACCTGGAGAGTCTTTGACTCCACACCCATACCCCCAGGAAGTCACACCATACACAACCCAGATATTTCCTGGTTGTTCACACATTAATGGTCCACCACTGTCTCCCTGACAGCTGTCTACCTGTTTTTGTGCATGGAGGCTACCAGCACATAGCATTCTCCCTGTGAATTTTGTGTGATACCGTTCTTCACAAATTCTTTTAGGAATAAGAGGAATAGCAGCTTGTTGTAATGTTCTTGAGTATGCTCTACCTGATAGGAAAATATTGAAATTAAAATACCGAATATTAAGGAAATCCTTATTCTTAAAACTTTGTTTTATCAAATAACTGAAATATTAGCAAACAGCTCAAACATCAGTAAGGTCTCTGTTTATATCAAGAACACAGTAATACACAATCCTGCAAAAACAGATGTTTACTGAATATTTTAAAACAGCTTGAAAGATAAAAAGTTTCTGGTGTTTCTTATATGCTACAGTAACGGAAATAAGCTTAATAGGAAGTTGTACTTTTATAGTCTTGCATTTAAACTTTGCATGCCTTTTTAGTAGGAACACGTATCTTCACAATTTAGGAAATATTTCCATTTCAAGTCTTAATTTGAAGAATGCATGGATTATAAAGAAGTTTCAAAATGCCTGATGGTGTTTAATTTTGCGGCAGAATGCGATGAAACGGGTGGTAGAGGAAAATAGGTAATTTTAAACTAGCCAGGTTTCAGTTTGACCATACAAGCAATCATTGATTAATGATAGTAATTCAGGCTGGAATTTATATCACTATGCAATGTCATAAAGTGTGATGTTACACGAACAATTAGCAACTACAATCCTAGCAGTCCTTCATTAACCAAATCCCAACTGTCATTAATTGAGGACTTCTTCCAATCCAAGCCATTCCAATTTTGTCCTTCCCGGCTCGGAGCCTTGCAATGTAAGGGACTGTCTCCTCTGCAATTCACTCCTGCTTATCCCTCTTCCATCTCTGCCTTTTTGTCAAATTGGATAAGGGGTCCATGTGGCCTTGGGAAGGTGGCCTGTTAGCAGCTGCCTTGCAAATGCAAGATTAAATGTGCTTCAACTCGGGAGGAAGAAGATGATAGCTGGGGATGGCAGGGACTGAAGAAGCGGCTAAAAGAGCAGAACTGAAGGTGGCAATAGGCACTCCTGTACTCCTTTACTCCTGTAGTAGTAAATGCAGGAAGGCTGCTAAGAGCCTGAATTTTGACCATCAGGATGCTGCAACAGCAGTAACTATGAATCTGGCGAAACTACCATTCAATCAGCATTGCCATAATTTAGAACAGTTACTGAACAAATGATTGTTAAGCAAGGACTACCTGAAGACAATCTCAATCTTACATGGGAAAAGACCTGAATACAATGAGACCAGCACACCTACACCCGTGAAAATCTATGAAAACAAACTATATATATAGTTGGTATGCCCAACTATGCCCAACCCCTGGTATGCCCAAATATGGGAGGAAGGTCACACTTCCATTCTCTGCCTTCGGCTCGTCACAAGAGACCATCCAGACAGAAATCCA